CCCACACACACGCACACACGCACACGCACGCGCACGTGCGCACATACACACACACTCTCTCACACACACAAACACTCACCTCGTCCCCGCTGCCGCCGCCCTCGTCGTCGCTGTCCGCCTCTATAGCCTCCAATAGGTCCTCGTTCGGCGCCGCCGCCTCCGCCACGCCCGCCAGCGCGCCGCCGGCGCCCTTGCGGCGCTTGGCCGGCTGCGGCGCGCCGCCTGCGTCACGGGGCAAGGGTGCCGAGGTTGAGGTGCCAGGCGCGGCACGCCGGGCCCAAGGGGCACGCACGCCCGCGGCTGCGCGGGGAGCCCCCTCGGTTGCGCCCTGTGCAGAGGATGCGCCGCGCAGTGCCTTCCCGTCTTCTGGCTGACCTCAGACCCCCGCTGAGGGGCCAGGGGCGCGAATAAACGAAAAACACCGCCGGGCAAAGCACCACCCCGACAGCCTCGCCCGTCCGCCAAAATAACGACCAAAAAAAAAGGAAGTGAAAAGAGGGACGAGGCCCGCTGCAGACACCCACCCGGCAGGTCTCCGAGGCTGAAGAGCCGCTCGTCGTCGGGCGCCCCCGCCGCGTCCTCCCCCGCGTCCGCGCCGGCCGCGTACTGCGCGGAGCGGACTCGCGCCTTCTTCTTGGCCTCCCGCCGCTTGCGGCGCTCGCGCTTGAGGCTGGGGGGGCGGGTGGGAGAGGTTGGGGTTTTGGGGGGGTTGAGGGTTTCGGCGGTTTTTTGGGGTTCGAGGCAGGCGGATTCGAGGCGATCGCCATTGAGGCGGTGTGATTGACACCAAGTCATGGTTTTCGGAGAGTCTAAGTGCGTGTGTGCGTGCGTGCGTGTTTGTGTTTGATTGCTTACTTGCGTGCGTGCGTGCGTGCGTGCGTGCGTGCGTTGCGGCGGCACGATCATCAACTGTCAGGAGTTGTGATTTATGTGAAAACATCGGCGGCCGCACAACATGCGCAAAGGCGCCAACTCAAAACAGAAAACAACGGCGCGCAGGGTGTTTGGCCCAACAACTTGAACACACGTACAGGCATGCACGCATGTGGTAGCCTCAGCTTGCAATGTGGCATCAATTGTTCAGAAATTATTAGTCTTGAGAAATGCCATCACCGGCTGCACATGCGGACTCATGGATCGTCATGAATTGAATGCACACGTCCACGTCCACGCACGCGCACATGCACACACGATTTTGCGCGATATGTGCGCACGGGTCCATTTATAGGGCGGGGTGTACCGTCCGCCGCATCCAGCGCGCCCTGGCGCACCTGAGCCCCGTTGGCCCGCACCACCCCGCAACGACCCGCCCAGGACAGCCCCCCCAAAACATGGCGCCGCGCTGGTCAGCACCCTGAACCTGCGGCCCTCGCGCCGCCCCACCCCACCCCCCACCACACACACAC